ATTACATTGTAGAGAGCTCTCAGTGTCCTATCAATCATGTGAAGTACATGTAGATGTTTTCTCAATTTGTCAGCTATTGATTTGTACCAACCTGTACCCTACCTGGACACACGGTTTCATTGGAGTTTTACCGTCTTGTGTTGGTGACTGTAAATCAAGAGATTTTATGGCATGTGTGTTACATGCAAGTGTTTTAAATGATTATGGACATTGTATATCTTTTTATGATCAGATCATGTTAGTATTTTTTAAGTATGTGTATACTGAGTGTATCTTTAGTTATCCCAATGGATGAAGTTTGGTGGAGATATAGTGAAGCCCTATGTCCATCTGTCATATGTCAGTCCATCTGTACAGGAGGGGGATAGCCAAATAAAGTACAGACCAATCTTCTTTCATTTTCATTTTATTTATTGATTGAACATTGAATAAAATTTTGTTGGGATTTTCTGCTCTATGGAGTAGCTCTTGTTTCTGTTTCAATACATTGTCTCAGTTTTATCATGTGATCTGCAATCTGTATTTCTACTGAGATTGTCCCAATTGATCATCTCTGCCGCAATACAGAAAATATTGGTACGGAGGGGACATTCTCAGTAGCAATACAGAGGATCACATGATAAAAACGTTATAGAATGATTTGAAGTGCAACACAGGATATATTCTGCTCTCGATATTTTGTATTGGCACTCGACTTTGTTTCGTGACAATACGGAATTCTCGAGCAGAATATATGCTGTATTGCGCTTCAAATCATTCAATACCTTATAGAATTTCACTCTTTCAAAGGTTTTCAACTTAATTTAGATACAAAATAAAAAGCAAAGAAATCTTTATGCCAAGTAACTGTGCCACTTTGACCTAATTTTATGAGTTTTGTTGAAACAGATATATTTTGAGCTCACTTTTGGATATGAAAGTATACATTTCTTTAGTAGAACAAGCATATGAGCGCATTCTTTACAATAGCAAAATTATTGAAATGTCATTGAACTGCAGAATTGTCAATCGAGACTACATAGCATAACAATTTTGCCAGTTGACCTTGGGAGAGGTCTACAATTGTATAAAATGCCTGCATGCCTGTTATGCCACCTTAGTCTATTTAAATTGGTTTAAATTACAGTAGCTGACAGACATTAATTATTGCCTGATCTACAGTGTGTTCTGATGTCTTAACCTTAGAGTTAAAGGTGTAATACTGTTATCTATAAGTCTCATATGTGTCAAATCTTAATGATTCTACTTCGCATCATTTTTGTAAACAACTTTGATAGGTTTGATTAATTGTCTGATCATTAGATGGAGTTTTTTAGTACACTATGTGAACTTTAAATTATGTGTACTCTATACATGTTAGCCACTGCACATGGCCTACTTTGGAATTTTCCCTTTATATATTAATAACATGAGATGGGTATTCTAAAACATGTGCATTGTGGTGTCCATAGGCTCTTCGTTGTTTCACAAGCTTTAGATAAAGAGGGACTCTGACAGGACTGTTACAAAGGGTAGGAAATTCATGAATCAGAATTTACATCATATTTTTATTGTCTCCTTTTTGTGGATGGTGTTTGGTGGTTGGTGTTTGACAGTTGGTGCCTGTAACAAATGGTATGTGGTGACATATTGCCTACTTATGCTTTGTTACTTAACATTGCCATTTCCTGATTGATTTGAAACTGAAATTCATTCTTAACTTCTAATAAGGCCCACCCATTCTAACTAATGTGTACATGTAGGGCCTCTAGCACATTTAAAGCCAGAAACATAAAACATATCACTCTTATGTTGAATCTTTAGTAGGATTAATCCAAATATGTCTAATCCTCCAAGCTGAAGATAAGAATGTTTAGTGAGAAATCACAGAAGCTAGTGGCTAACAAATGCAATCGAGCAATTTGTGTGGTTTACTGAGACATTGATATGCCTGTGTTGTTTTAATTTGGCATTAAATTAACCAGCTCATTAAGACCAGTGACGTTTATTGAGTTAAGTGACAGTAAATCCTGGAAATAACATAAAGCAGGACTGAGTCTATGACAGAGAGTTTCAGGCTGCCATGACTCACAGTGATCTATATGAGCTGTATACTGTATATAGGCTGTAAGCTTTGTTTTGGCTGTATGCTGTATACAGAATATTATGTTTGTATGCTGTATATTATGACGTATATAACAGCACAAACTAAGAATTCCTGATTGATTCAATTTTAGCTAACTATATATACCTCAAAGGTCTAGTTAACAGTTCTGATCTTATTTTTATTAATATTAGTTTGGAGTGTGACTATGTCATATTAGGTTGAAGATTAAACAGCCATAGTTTGAATCTCCAGTGTATTTGCCGAGTTTTCATTTCAGATAAAGATGTCACCTCAGTAAATCATCCCAGGAGAGCTCATTAGTTTCATTTCAAAATTTGTTAGCTCTAGATTCAACATTTTAATGGGGACCAGGGGAGGGGGGGGGTATAAAACATGCATGCTTGGGTATAATGAATCCATTTTCAAATGTTGGTTTAGGAAACCCCTGAGTCTTACATCTGGTATATCTCAGCCACCCCACACAACTTGGTTTTTCTCCAACCTGTAAATAAGGTAAGCCACACCCACTTCTGTTTTTCTTCATTCACCAGTGGTAGTTAATTGAGGGTGCCTGGTAAATTGGAATGTTCAACCTGTCTTGAAATAGAGAAACGAGAATGATCTTAAAGTGGCTCTATGTGTGTTTTACAATAAAAAGTTTCTAAAAATTGTAACAACTTGTCACTAATATCAGGGATGGATCTGAAAACTAACAAGAAGGGGGAGGGGAAGGGTGGGACACATTACAAATCTGAAAAATGGAAAAAATTTGACCCCTAATTCTATATCTTTAAAGATGCAGTATACCATAGGTATACCAGGGAGAGGGAGGGGGGGCAACCTTTACATATGCATACCAGGGAGAGGGGGGGGGGGCAACCTTTACATATGCATACAAGGGAGGGGGGGGAACATTTACACTTGATAAAAGAACATTTAGATTGGTGTTATAAAAAAGTACTTCTCAATTCCATGATTATTTACACAAGGTTATATAGCAGCTGGTAATATTCACTTAATAATATCTATACTTTACTGAATATATTTGTCTCAACAGGTGTTCTAAACACTGTTCTATATGACTATTTGGTGTCATAGGTCCCTGTTATCACACCCCTCAGGTAGGGACTCAATTGAGATGACATTAGTCATATTTGACATTCTTGAAACAATAATTACATTTATACACCTAGAGGAAATGAATAGGAATTGCAATTTTAATCATAATTCACAAACGAAAAAACAAGTTACTGCCATATTTATTGCATGTTAATGCTGCCCCTACCAAAAAACTCTCAAAGGAGAAAGTTTGGTGAGGTTGGTATATCTCCTCAAAATTCTTGAAATTAGAATTACCTTAACTTGTTTGTCTCATGATGAATCAATTGAAGCATACTATAATATAACCTTGGCAATTATTCAGTATGTAACATTTTTTCTGTGAATTAAATATTGATGATGAGTAATAAAAAAAAGTTAATTCAAGTCTCTTAGTCTGCACATTATTTTCAAGTCTAATTCTGAAGTTATATTGATGTCTTTTATGATCTTGTCAAGCTTAGACTTTATCCCCATGTGAACCCTGAACATTTCAAAATTATGTGAAGTCTTAAAGTTTTCATTTTAATCCATAATATATATAATATATATCAGTTTGCTCATCTTCGAGAAAATGGTTTATTTTGTTATTCTAATACCATTACTTACATTTCATTAACACAGATCAGTTTAATTCATATTTTGAAGATTGAATTATTTCATCAATTTTCTTGACTTTATTTTGATCTTTTCTATCTCTTCAATTGTTCAAAGCCAATTATCATTTTAAGCCATGAGGCTATACTGCAAAGATCAATCAACTCAATCAACCCCTGGAAATGATGTCACTCAAACATCCTGTCACTAAATCTGGATAAAATTAAGGTTTTTCCTGCAATTTCTAATAATTAGACTGTCATTACATGTTGCCTGTACTCAAACATTCCACTCATTTCTGATTGATTTTACATTTCAAAATGTTATTGTAAATAAGAAAATTGGAAGTAAGTGGAGCATAGTCATAGGTGTAGATGATAGAACAACTCTCACATTTATCATTTGTATCATTACATTTCAGGATTACAGTCTATTACTGTATGTTGCAACATACAGATGTCATATTTTCTCTCTCTGCTTGGTAAGAACATGCATGAGAAAAGGCTATCTTATCAGATACCAGAAAAATCTGTTCAGATTAATGTTCAAATGCGTGTTCAATTTTTTAAATCATTGTGATTTTGACTGTTGGTAGTCAAAATTCTAAGATAGGATTTCTTCAACTTGTTTGAGTTAAGCTTGAGGCCTTGCATTTGGCCTGTCTTTTTGTAATGTCTATGTACTATACAAACAGGGGGACCCCAAAGAAATCCAAATTATTTTGCTTAAACTGGCCCTGCCTTTAACGAAATGGTCTCAATTCTTTTGAAAAGAGTGCCATTTTTCCTGGCTTCAATTTGTCCTAATCAATTTTCAGGTCCATCCTTGGTATACAAAACTATTCCCAGCTCTCTGTCATATAATTACAGAAGGATCAAAGCCATCAATGAACACTGTTGAGAAGCTCATCTTTACAAGGCACTGAACTTAGCTTTTACATCTGTCTTCCTTTGTAGTATTTATCACCTGTGTTGTTTGAGTAACGACTAAACAAGATGATCAACATTGACAATGAAACAGCTTACCATAAGTCTCAGGTAATTTTAATTTTCTATAAGAAAGCTTGCTAGGAATCATAAAGGCTACTATGACATTAGCAAACAAAGTTGATAGTATAATTTAATATGAAATATAGTTTTTTAATCCTTGTTCAAGTCAGTAAGCTTATATCTGATCCTGTTGTGTTTTTTAAATTTATGTTTTTTATTCTAGGATCTAGTTCTTGATTGAGGTCACCTGTCTGGAAAAGGAGCCCTGGGGATTCATTCACACTGACTGAGAGGCAATGAATGCAGCCTTGGAAGCCATGGGAAGAAAGTTATTTGCACAAAAGTTGTTGGGTTGAGAAAGAAAAATGAACCTTGGAAATTCACCCACAGCCATTGTTTGCAGCTTTGCGGTTGGAAATGAACCTGACAATTCAACCTTATTCATAGATTGCAGCTTTGAGGTGGGAAATGAACCTGGCAATTCATCCATAGCCATTGGTTGCAGTTTTGAGGTGAAAAATGAACCTGGCAATTCACTCAATACCATTGTTTGCAGCTTTGCGGTTGGAAATGAATCTGACAATTGAACCATATTCATAGGTTGCATCTTTGAGGTGGGAAATGAACCTGGCAATTCATCTATAGCTATTGGTTGCAGCTTTGAGGTGGGAAATGAACCTTGCACGTCATACATGCAGTGTTGGAGATTCATTAAATTAAATGGTGCAATAAAAAAAATATTTAGAAAATTATAAACAATTTTTGTTTGTTTGTATTGCTAAGAGTATCTTGTGAGTATATTCTTGAAAACAACAAAAGCCACATGTCCAGGATAAACAATTACAGACCCAGTTCACCCAAATTTTATTCTGTTATAAATCAGAGGATACCCACTTGCAAATCCCATTATCAACACACCATTGATCTTTGAAAGATTAATGTATCTTCCTGACAAAAAATTATCTCCCAGTTTTGACATTTCATAAGGGTCATTTAAAGTGAGAAATGGTCCCCTTTGTCTCATAAATGTTAATGTTCCTATCTTTAATTAATTTTCTCAACACACTGGATGAAATATCACTCAGATCATGCTGGGTACATTTTTATCCCATCGAACAAAGTTCGGAGGGATATAGGGAACGCCTCCGTCCGTCCGTCCGTACGTCCGTCCATCCGTCCGTCCGTCTGTCCGTCCGTCCGTCCGTCCGGGCAATAACTCAAATACCGTTGGCCCGATTTTGTTTATATTTTGTACACATATACCCTTTGGGGGTAGAAGTTCTGCACGAAAGCCGATTTTCAAAATGGCCGCTTATTTCAAAATGGCGGCCATTTTAGTGCCGATTTTACAGTAATTTAGGTGTTATATGTAAAACTGTAATAGCAATATGTTTTAAATGTAAAAAAATTATAAAAGACATTAATAATGCTACAAATGTAGATATTAAAGAAGCACATGGCAGCCATCTTGAAAAATGGCCGCCTTTACTCGTCATTTTATGATTTTTGCTGTAACTCAAAAAATAGTGGAGCGATTTTGTTCATATTTGGTATGTGAATACTATAAGCATTGCACACTGTCTAAAGACACTTTTGGTAGAAGGCGGCCATTTTGAAAAATGGCCGCCATTCTAACGTATTTTACTATAACTCGAAAAGTAGTGGAGCGATTTTGTTTATATTTGGTATGTGAATACTATAAGCATGACACACTGTCCTATGACATTTTTGGTAGAAGGCAGCCATTTTGAAAATTTTTTTGAAAAATGGCCGCCATTTTAACGTATTTTACTATAACTCGAAAAGTAGTGGAGCGAATTTGTTCATATTTGGTATGTGAATACTATAAGCATGGCACACTGTCCTATGACACTTTTGGTAGAAGGCGGCCATTTTGAAATTTTTTTGAAAAATGGCCGCCATTTTAACATGTTTTACTATAACTCGAAAAGTAGTGGAGCAATTTTGTTCATATTTGGTATGTGAATACTATAAGCATGGCACACTGTCTATTTCTAATGACACTTTTGGTAGAAGGTGGCCATTTTGAAAAATGGCCGCCATTTTAACGTATTTTACTATAACTCAAAAAGTAGTGGAGCGATTTTGTTCATATTTGATATGTGAATACTTTAAGCATGGCACATTGTCTAATAAAACTTCGGGGAGTAGTCGGCCATTTTGAAAAATGGCCACCATTTTTATGTGTGTTATTTTACAAGTAGGTGTGTAATTTTTCAAAAATTTTAGAGGTAGCTACTTAAAAGCATATTATTTCTCCTAATGACAACTTGGCTAGTGAGCAACCATTTTGAAAATGGTGGCCTTTCTGGTGTGTTGTTTTATGATATTTGCTATTCGTTTGTAAAAATGCCAGCTATTTCTGTTCGATGGGATTCGCTACGCTTTGGCGTTGCCGTTGTTCTGGTTCAATTTGTGGTGTGTACCTGGCAGAGTATGTGATGAGTGTTAAGGTAGACCTAATGGGAGGACTATTGTATCCATGAGAGTATATGGTATACAAGGTAATGAGCAAGTTAATCATTGTAGGTGTAATTTTTAGAATTGTGTAATGGGTTTTGAATTGAATTGTGTTATTATAAGTTTTCAAGTTCAAAGATACTATACATGAAAGATAACGAGTAAGAGTGAGAGGCTTGGTTACATCATCAGTGTTATTGTTTATTTTCTTGTGTTTACCTGTATTTGGTGACATATTGTCATAGTCACCAATTGTTGTGACCAGCATTTAGTATTCAGATACGATGGCTGTGTTTTCAAATAGTTATTATACCTTATATATTATATATTGCTTCGGATTTTTTGTTTTATATATTACAATCTGTGTTTCCAAATTACAATGTTATGGCTAGAAATGAATATAATACCTGGATACTATGATTGATGTAATTCTAAGTCAATGGATGTATAGGATTTGCAGGAAAACAGCAGGATTATGCAGAGTCCAATGGAAAAGATAGATTGCACATTGAAGACAATGGAAAAACAGTAAACAGAACTATCACTGGGATATATATCAGTCAATTTTTCAATTTTACTAGCATCTTGACAAGTTTAATTGCACGAGCTCTGTTTCATTATTTCACAGAATCCATAAAAAATAATTAATGTCGGGTGTATCCCGATATACAGGACATCGTAGAAATTAGAATTATTTTAATTGTGTCTGGTAATGTTCAGAGATCTATCGCAGAAAATGAACTTATAATTACAGCCTGCCTGACAAGCTATTTATTCTCTGTCATCATTTATTTTTTAGACAGAAAAATGAGAATTTTACGAGTTTTTCTCATTAAATGTCCATCCATGTGTATATGTAGATGATATTTCTTTACTAATAGCCAAGAGTGGCAATTAACTCCCCTCATCAATAATCAGAGGCAGATTTAAGTACACACAGGATAAACCTATTTCCAACTAGCCATGTTTAATCCAAAAAGTCAACGGAAAATGTATCATTCAATAATTGATCATTTAACTCACTAATTTAGTTTCATTTGTTTCCTCTTGGAGAATATGCTTAAATGTGACAGGCCAGGTGAATGAGCATCAGAGTTTAAGATAGAAAATGCAAAGAATGTTTTCCAGTAGGTCATGGGGACTACCGGATTTCACTCTGATACAAAAAGCTCACCAGTTTTGCTCAAATACTTTTAAACCCAAGTTTGAAGTTGAGAAAACTAATCGCTACAACAACCTCTGAACTAAAACTCGTGTTTGATTCAAGTGATAGAATCAAAACACAGATGGGCAAAGTATATTTAGAGGTCAGAGTCAGTGATGAACTTGAAACAAGACAGATTGATTAGATGTTTGCCACAAATGAAGATGATGTTGACATAACATTTGATAAAGGTCAATTACATTTTATTCCTGGCCTTAATTAATGATAAGTATTGTTGATAACTGAAGCTTTGAAAACATGTTATCTTTTATACACTTTGTGCTTAGAAGGTCATGAAAATTCATGACAAATCAGCTTGTTAAGGTTATATTATTTATTGTAATGTTGAATTCTTCGCTTAAGCTTGGCTGTGAATAAAAATGTAAAAAAACAATTAAGGAAGACTATAAATCATGTCGACTTAATACTAGAGATAATCTCAGTGATTTGTTATTCCCCAATGGAGGTAGGGACAGATTAGATAAATATCCTCGGAATATTCCTAAATCACTCGCATTTATAAGCCATTTATTCTTTCATTTACGACAAATGTCTTCGTTTGAATGTAATAAATTGCCTAGTGGGTCATTTTTCTGTATGTCAGTAGCAAATACGATAGGATTAGAGCACTTTTCTTAATACATATTAGGATTTAGGATGATTTGGAAAGCTGTGAATCTATCTCATCTCCATTTCTTCTTGACTACTCTAATGTTGGTCATAATATAAAGACACTCAGACTTTTATCCACAGTAATGAAGCAACTAAAGAAAATACCAATTATTAAATTATTGGCCAAAGTAGATCCAGGATTATAAACAGGTCCAGTTCTGAGCTTAGAATATCAGAATTTAACTTGGCCAATTTCTCTCTCTCTCTCTCTCTTGTGATGTGGACTTGCATGTTGTCAAAATATCTGATGAAGATGAAAGAATGTTTTTCTTGCAACAGGTTGTCAAAAAAACAGAGAGTATTGATTTTCATAGTGAGGAAGTAAAGTCATACATTGGACATTCATCATCATCATTGTTACCATCATTTTTACACCTGTATGCTTGCCTTGCACTTTGATTAAGCCTTAGGTCATCAGTGTCTGAAATGTCATCAGTTTCGGAAATGTAGTTGATATAGTTTTGAGTCTAGCTTTGTTGTAGTTATGTATATTAACCTTTAAATGTAGACACTTGCTTGTAAATTGATTCTGCCAATGAACATCAAATCCCTCATTATTTGAAACTGAACCCCATAATCTGTGGCTGTTTTACCTTTAAATCATTTGTGGTTTCCCATCATTCAGATGACTGAGTCTTTCTCTGATTGTGTTTTGTCTGTCTATGGGTATACCTGTTTAAGGTCCATTCCATTGGTCTGCCTATGACTTTCCAAGCTCTTGTCATACACATACCTTCTGTCTGACTTTGATGAAATATTGTCAAAACCATAGATTTTTGTCACCTAAGTGCTGGTGATTAGGGATTGTGGTTACAATGGGGAACAAATTGTTGCACTTTTCTTACCATTTGCAATAGCTTACCAAGTGATGGCATTTTGTTGTGTTGTTGCTTTGCCTTTCTTCTATTTTTCAATTTGTTTCATGCGTTTTGTCCACCTATGATGTTTGCACCTAGTTTGACCTTTGCCATACATTTGTTTGCTTGTTTTATCTCTGAAAATAGTTCAACTAGGTGCTTGCTTATGTCCATGTATGATGTTTTAGCCATTGCCAAACATTACTCGTGTCTACCTCAGGCTTCATCCTTCAAAACTAGTTTACTAGGTTCATAGTCTATCTATGACAGTTTAGCCTTTGGCATGCATGTCTTTTGTCTGCCTAAGGCTTAATGTCAATGTCAATGTTTACTGCAGCTTTTAAGTCTTGCTACTCATTCTCTTTTTGCTGGCTTTGACAAAATATCTTTCAACATTTTGTATTCTGATCATTCAATGATAGAAAATTATTAAAATGTCAGTTATACCAGATTCTTTCATTATGTTCATGGAAACACAAGGAAAGAGATACCATCTAAAAAGAATATCCCACACACAATTGTGAATTTTACAATTTATTATACTACATTATATTTTACATGATTTACCCAAAAAAGGTTGTTTTGTTAGTTGATCTGACAAGAGGCAGCCAAAGTTAATGCTCAAACACACAAGAGGAATGGACCTTTTCTACATACACACATTGCGGTTCATAAAAACCCAGAGCAGGTTAATACCTCTGTAACTGAAAGCTCAGACAGTGATCATAAATGAATAAACACAAGGGGCACATTCATCTCGAACTCGCAGCCTCGTGGTAATGGCACCCATATGCTTAGCTTGGATGTGCTGGCACACAAGACCTCTCAACCAAAAATGGTCGTTTTGTTAGTTGATCTGACTAGAAGCACAACAGATGCACAACGCTTGAACACAACAGAAGAATGAATCAGTTTGTTCATGCTATTGAAGAGATTCTGCTATATCACCAATCTTAGTGGTAACTATTAAAAACCTGTCGGTTGATATGAATGATTCAAAATATTATTGAATTTGTAGGCAGTAAATATATAGCATAAGAATTGCGCACTCCATCATTATAGACACTGATATGTGCCCTGTATATTGTTTTAAATCCATTTGTGTCATATAGAGTCATTTATCATGTGTTTTAATGTGGCCAATATTCCTAACTTGACAGGTCTGGCATTACAAAGTAATTTGACTAATCCATTATGACAGTATGAGAATCTCATCAGAGGTTTATAAATTCTTTATGTCTCTGATGTTTTTAATGAATTTGTCATTTGTGAAATTTGATGTTTGTGTACTAATCCAGGTGTATTTGATAAAAATATATATTGTTCCTATATGTTGGTGTCTGATAGGCTTCAGCTCTTATATATTCAATGACATGTGTCTTGTTCAACATTGGGATTTGTCTTGAATAAGTAATTCAAATGACTATGAGGTCTGGAGTAGTTATTTGTAAGACAACAATTTGAATCTGAATAGGAATCACAAATCAACACCAAAACTATAAACCATAGATATACAAGCATTGTTAAAAGCTAAAAAAATGTTATGCAGTTTTCAAATGTCCCATTTTAGATGTAAAGATGTACAAGATTTATGTAGCTCATTCTGGAGACCTCTTCCATGCTTTATGGTAAATACCAGTCATCCTTGATAGAACCAGCCTGAATGCTATTAATGTGAATTATGAGTCTCTACTTGACATTACAGGTGAAATGAAATTGATGTGTATTCATCTCTCTCTGCATCATTTAGCACTTGATGGCCATACATCATGCAATCATTTTCCTATGAATTGTAAAAACAATAGTAAAAAAACTCATAGTGATTTATTATCTTATGGTTCATGGCAGGAGTCTCACAGTTGACTATTATATATTTCATATGAATTAAGACAAAACAGATATGTGTTGAAATGAAGAATATTTGTGCTTTACTTACATGCAATTTGGAGACTATTTATTTGTGAAGTGGACTGTTAATTAGCTAATTTTTCGTGAAGATTCAAAATATGTAATTTTGTAAGGATTCTATTCTCATCAAAATCATCTCATCAATCATAAAAATGCACTTTTAATCAGCTTATTCCTAATACTTATTCAGAAGGATTATCCCTATATGCATGGATGCATGTATATAAGAGGTAAAATAGATATATAAGCTCGTTAATCAACACTAGACAGGTGAGTGAACAGCCTGTCTTTCACTTTTTCTTCAAATGATTTATGACCACTCTTATCTAACAGTTTTTAGCCTTCGATTGACATTGTCTATTGTTTTCAGGTAATCAAAATGTTATATTTAAGATAAAAAGTAGAATCCATTTGCAGATTAATTTTGCTGTGATGTTTCTCTTGAAAGTTAATTTTTGCATATATTTCACTGAGGAGTATGTCTGCTATGATTAATCATAAATGTTGAACATACTTGTGTGTACATCTTTCAGTATTTCTTATTGTTGTTGAAGCATTGTAAAAGCATTTTTTGTGAAATATTGTGTTTTATGGATTATGCCGATGGCTTTGGGTATGGAAGTTGATCCTTTGTTATTCCATTGGTCTTCGAGATTAGATTTTGTCAGTCCAACATCCTTTGCGACTGAATGCTCTATCTTGTATGAGTACTTGTATCTACAACTATTTTTGAGGTTATGAGTATTGGCTATTAATTGGCTATCAATTTCTAATTTTTTCCTCAACATGTATTGTAATGACTTCAGTATGAATGAAATGTCCCTTGGTCTTCTGGTCTTGGATTGTGATATTGGTTCTTGAATGGTGGGGGAAAGGGGGTATTAGACATTGTTTCTTTTCACGTTAGATCGTGGTTTTGGGCTATATGGGGTTTGTTTTTCTTTACTGGTATGCACTTTGAGTTTGCTTTTTCTTGCTAAGTTCCATTACAACTTTTGGTCCTTTTCCCTTTGGCACTAGTGCTTATATATTTGTATGAATACCAGTATCTACAAGTATATTGGCTATCAATTTTAAATTTATTCATCAGCAAGTATTGTAATTCAGTATGAATGAAATGTCTTTTGGTGTTATGGTCTCAGATTGTAATGTTTGTACTTGAATGGTTGGGAGAGGAGGAATAAGTCACTGTTTCTTTTCATGTAAGATTGTGATTTGGGATGATTTGGGTTTAATTTCCTTATTACTGTTGTACTCTTGGATGTTTTCTTTTCCTTGCTGAATTCTGTAACTATTTTTGGTGTTTTCCTGTTGACACTTGAGTTTACATATTTAAAGTAAATATATATCCATTTGCATTGTATTTAAGGTTACCTATACATAAGATATATTAACTGGTTTTTATCTTATCTGAACAAGCAATCTTTTTAACATTACATCGTAAGTGCATGGTAAAAAGTATGTTAACCATGTCTGAATGTATACCATATGGAGAATGATTGACATGTAGGATTTGAATGTTGTGGCATATATTATTCAACATATGTCACCCCTCAAGGTGTTGATACCCATATGTGTAACTCTTTCTGTGATCTCCTCACTTAGAGTGAAATATTCACTCATGTATGTACATGTTAAAACTGATATGTTACAAATACCTTGAAGGACAACCTTCAGGATATTGCACCTCCTTGTTTTACTCCCTTGACTTTAATTATATGGACCGAGTTGTCAATTTAGTGTGGGAACCGGTTGTTTATAGGCGCACTGTGCAAGCTGTAGGCTACTGAGACGTAAATCATATAAAATCATAACTCTGTAATGCACTGTGAAGAGTAACAGGGAATAGTTTGTCATAGACAAGTGATACCTATTTATTAAGCATTGTTCTGGAGTACATTAAGCAATGGTGATAATGATAGTGGAAAGTGAAATTAAGGGGTAGCTAAAATATAATTTATCATACTCCACCTTCTAGGACTTTGATCTGACAGAAAGTAGAGAAATGTAGCTGAGACTCAGAGGGAATTATTCAAAATTGATTAAGGTTTTATGATAAATTTGACAGCTGGTTGATGGCTACTATTATACATAGCGCATTACTGGTTTGACCCAAGGCTTTTACACTCATAAAGATGATAAATTTATTTGATTCTCTGATGTTAAAATGCTATAAAATAGAATTCATTTAACCCAAAAGGCAATTCCTGTTTGATTTATCATTAGTGCCATCTATATGCCTGTTCAAAAGTTTAAATTTTGGAAATATATTCAAATACATCACTAGAAATATGATCAGATCAGACCTGCTTTTAGCCCTATGGTCCTAAGTTTTCCTGTTGACACTTTAGTTTTTATATTTGAAGTAAATATATATCCATTTGCATTGTATTTAAGGTTACCTATACATAAAATATATTAACTGGTTTTTATCATATTTATCATTTATCAATTTTTTTTAACATTACGTTGTAAGTGCATGGTAAAAAATATGTTAACCATGTCTGAATGTATACCATATGGAGAATGATTGACATGTAGGATTGAATGTATATATTATCCAACATTTTAGATCTTTAAATATTATAAATGAAAATGAATAATTATCATTATTTTGAAAATATATATTCTGATATATGTATTTATACACAGTTATACATATTAGTTTAATATACTATATATCACATAAAGCAATTGTGGACTGTTAAACTAAATATCTTGGACTAGACCACATGTTTTCAGATTTTTATTGTTGTATATAATCTCTTAAATAATTAAACATGTCAAATGAGATCATAAATCAAATAATGCAGTCATATATAGGTCAAAATAGAGTTCCTTTGCAGATGTGGTCCATATCATGTATAGATTAAACTGATAATATAATTGTTCCATAAAACTCCATCCACAGAGTGATATTTCTAAAATATTTGATGACCAAAAATTGTACTTAGTACATTATATTCCCATCTTGGGATTCATCCATACTAAAGTACATGTTTAATTGTTTCATTCATACCATCTATGAATAGTCAATTCAGTTAGCTTCAATTGCTCTTCTTGATTCCAGGTATTTCTTATGGACAATGTTGTCATCAGCAGCGGGACGGTATACAGCCACCCACAGTTCCTTGTTTTCAAACATCCGCAACATCTGCAGGTACTCCTTAAAATATATCAAATCAAATTTCACCATGAATATACTCATTTTATTAAGATTTGGTAAAGGTTGCAACTTAGTATCATCTAAATTGCTTCGTACATTTTTCCATCAAAAGTATGAACCTGAGTTTGCTGTGTCGGTTTTCTATGTCTTTTGTACCATGATAAATCCATGATATAACAAGGTGTATTGTGATCTATGGTAATTAATGGTATGAAATAACATTCTCAGACATGGTTATTAATTGGCACCATTGTTTTTATGCATGTATAACATGCAGTTGTCACTTGAAAAGAATGCATGTCATTTTGCAGTATTTCATGGTCAAATCTTTGACAATTCTATCATTGCGTATCATGATCTTTCTGTTTAACATGCAGTTGTCAAGTGAAAAGAATGCATGCCATTTTGCGGTATTCCATTGCCAAATCTTTGACTATGTTATCATTCCATACCGTATCATGGTCAAATTAGAACTTGATTTACATAAATGATCAGTATAGTATTTTTCCAATATATAGGGTGGCCCACAAATGGTCTACCCATTTTTCTATAGCCAAAACACTCACACAAGTTTAATATTTTTTTCTATTTTTTCTCCATATATGCTAGAGACCTAAACAATTTTTCTATCCAAATTACTTTGAAATCACAATGTTTTTAGTACACTTTTTTCAATAATTGATAATATGCTCAATCCAAGCAACATACTGAATGACAGCAGTGTTTCAAATGTTGGAATGCTCCACAACTCTGTCATTCAGCAGCAGTGTGTTTTGGCTATAGAAGGTCCCAAGGGACCATGTTATCTTTGTGTATCATGGTCAGATTCCAAGTTGTCAGATCATTGGAAGAGCAAAGTCAGGTTTCATTATGGTTACAGAGCATTCAAGTTTACAAGTGATTGATGTCATAAACATGCAACTTACATCAATCAATCCTCTATGGTAGAGGCCAGGTGGTAAGACTACCATGTCACCTTTTGTTACCCTCAATCTGATCCATTTGTCATCTTTGTCCCTGACATCCATACAGCATGCACCATCTAACACTAGGCGAACCTCATCATCTTCATGTATATGCTCCTTTAGGAAGAACTTCACCTGTAACCAATATTAAGGGAATTCATTAATTATTGATTCAACATCTTTTCATTATTTGAATATGTCCAATTACATTTTTTACAAAATAAGAATAAACATTGTGTCCAGTTTAGTTTCTGCTTTCTATAATTGGTCCATGAAGCAATCTATATAGAGACAAATAAACATGCTGTGCTCTTCTTAGGGTCTGTGTTCAGATGACAATTTGACATATTGCTCATACAATTTCGATCCTTTGGCTTCTTATTCATTATTCTGTAGTTCTTTGTGAACTTTATAAGTATTTTTATGTATAAGTAAGACGGTCTTTGGTAGTTTAGGCAGCTGGCCAATTGCATATGTGGAATTGTTCATTTCATGATGATATCATGATGACCTACTTTAACCTGTAACCTGGACATCTTTTTAAATTTACATTGTAGCATTATGCAAGCCTGAAGTTCAAATAGAGTTAAATATATAAGCACTAGTGCCAAAGGGAAAAGGACCAAAAGTTGTAATGGAACTTAGCAAGAAAAAGCAAACTCTAAGTGCATACCAGTCAAGAAAAACAAACCCCATATAGCCCAAAACCATGATCTAACGTGAAAAGAAACAATGTCTAATACCCCCTTTCCCCCCACCATTCAAGAATCAATATCACAATCCAAGACCAGAAGACCAAGGGACATTTCATTCATACTGAAGTCATTACAATACATGTTTAAGAAAAAATTAGAAATTGATAGCCAATTGATAGCCAATACTCATAACCTCAAATATTGTTGTAGAAACAAGTACTCATACAAGATAGAGCATTCAGTCTCAAATGATGTGGGATAGATAAAATCCAGTCTCCAAGTCCATAGGCGTTTCAAAGGGTCAACATCCATTCACAAAAGCCATTGCCATAATCCATAAAACACAATAATTCACAATGGTCATCAGGAGAAAACTATTCAGGTCACCTTGAATATACATGTATTTGTCCTTAAATTAGACATATATCAATTTGGTATGATAAAGTTAACAAACTTCACCTAATGATTAGGACACCAATGGGCCTGATTGTAAAGTTGGCTTTCATGAGCCTTGTATTTGGCAGTTTAGGCAGCTGTATATGTGGAATTATTCATTTCATGATGATATCATGATGACCTACTTTATACCTGTAACATGGACATCTTTTTAATTTTACATTGTAGCATTAAATGCAAGCCTGAAGTTCAAATAGAGTTAAACTATTAAGGTCACCTTGAATATACATGTATTTGTCCTAGACATATATCAATTTGGCATGATAAAGTTAACAAACTTCACCTAATGATTGAGGACACCAATGGGCCTGATTGTAAAATTGGCTTTCATTAGCCTTGGATTTTTGTAGAGCCCCTCAGTAGTATGTTGCAATATCTGGCTTCATGCTATATCATATTAAAATTTAACTCAAATTTTGAAACAACTAGAGTATATTTCCTTCTAACTATAGGACTTGCTTTCAAGTGATGGGATGTCAAGTGATGGCCAAAGTGATGGCCAAAGGGAAAGGACCAAAAATTGTTACAGAAAACAGCAAGCGTAAAAGAAAACACCTGAATTCACAAGCTATAAGGAAAACAAACACCAACAGTCCCAAATTATAATGTAATATCCCCCTTCCCCACCATTCAAATACCCTTATCTCATTCCGAGATTGCAACACGAGCGACATTTCATTCTATCAACTGAAGTCATTTCAATATATTAAAATGAATAGTTTTTTAAATGTCTACTTTGGCACTTTATTTAGTCACAGAGAAGATGTGCCTAGAAAGCTAAATACCAATATATTTCTTCACCTGTTCTTCTGTACAGTCAGCTGGGTTATTGTAGACATCGCTGAAGAATAATTTCTTTTCCTCAATAACGCTTTTGAAGCGACTGTCATCTTTGTAGGAGTCAACATCCATCTAGATGAAACAAACAAACATGAATGTAAACCAATGCATTTATATGCTGGAATAGTGTGGACTTTTTATTTGGCTCATGTAGTGAGGTGATAGGATCACCCGCTCACCAACCTGAGCAGGTTTTTGTTGTCAAGATATCACATTTTTGTCAATTTACAAGTTTTTATCATTTACATTTTGTGTTACAATTAGTGTTTCAATATCAGATGATATGCGATGCAATTGATGTTGAGAAGTATTGGTATCTGTTTGAGCTTTCCAAGTTTTACTGTTCTCTGAGCCCACTACAGATTTTGCAGAGAGTTTTAAGTTTTGATGTTATACGTCATTCACATTTGCCCTATGGCAAGTGCACAGTGGCCATAGATCCCCAAATCAAGAAAAACTAATGCTGAGCGCTTGCCTTATAGTCTTTATGGGGTATCCCAATTTCTTATAGGCTGTATTGTCACCATTGAAATTATAACTTGGACTTTGGTCACCATAGAAAATAGGCAAGCTGTAGCCATGTCATATTGTCAGACTGGTCACATGGTAGCTCTACAGTCAACTGCCTTGCGTCTGCCTTGGTATTTGTCAAAAACATACAGCTGGTGCCTAAGAACAATCTAACCATACCACATGCGACTGCTATTATATGTGAATGTGGAAATTCTATGATCTATCTGATTCTATCCATGATATCTTTATAATTGATGATGCACCCACATGCCTTTTTGAAAAAAATGACCACCAAAGTAAGACAAAGATGATGAGAGTCCAATGATGATGTTTTCAAAATGTATGAAATGCTAGTGAATTGTAAATGAAGGAAGTAGGGTAAGTGTAATCACAATGTGAGCACATTGAATGGTGCAGCTTTTTGGAATCTGAGGACTAGTATGCCCTTCTCTAACAATCCCATGAAGAGAATTAGAGAGAAAGGATTGATATGCTTCAAACAAATAGGTACCAGGAGCAAAAAGCAAACTTTTGAAAAAGAAATAGCACATTAAACCCAATGACATCGAACGTAGTGCATATGTACTTCATAAGTAGATAATCTAGAATGTATAAATTGTATGTTTTACCTTAAAGATCTGAACTCCTGTTTTCTTTGTGATTTCTTCTGGTGTGAGAACATCGTTAGAATCTTTCTGATATAAATCACTTCCAAGATACCAAGCCTTCACCATTTTGCTTTTTTAGATTTTTTGTTACCCGAGTCCCTTGATGTTTTATGTTGGTTTACTCTGGCACATGCGGTTATATCTGGTTTGGTTTGACCTTGTTATACATTATTTTAGTCACCCTATTTCAGATTTTAAGGACAGCGACTTTGTCTCCTTGGAGTAGGCATTGTCTTTTATCTCCCAATGTCCTACATTGGTACAAGAGATATTAAGGAGGGTGGGGTATTCTGCTGAGATGTAATGAATCTTCAGCATATTTGGACACTGCACCAAGTATCCAGATAACTAGGCAGAAACTTATATTTGGAAGAAGCTTAAATAAATGCTATCTGATCAAAAGGTAAAATTAATGTATTGTATCTATACCAGCAGGGATGCTAATTGCTGCAGGTAAGAATCCTATGTACACGTACCATACTTGAATCTATTTCAACATATTCTTTGAGATAGCAATGTTAATGACAGTAACCCTCCCACATGTGTCAATCAAACCAGGTACAGACTACTTGACAATTTATTTGAAATTGTTTGTACCTGAAAGTGATCACCTGTTACTGGCTTGATTTTTACTATGTAAAAGTAATCTAGATAGTGCATAATGTCATGTAGCACATCTTCACATTTTCAGAAATGGTTTTTGACATCACAAATATTCTGCCAATCATATTATAGAAAGTGCGGTAGACCTCTGGACTTGAATACATATGTCAAGTTATCACATTATTTATAAGTGATTGAAGTGTCCCTCCTTAACCTTATACACTGTCTTGTCAATTTTCGTACTTATTAAGTCAGAATTTATAATTAATAGTTTTGTTTACTTCTTTTTGCTCAAAATTCTAAGTGGTGATTTAATTTTTGGGAGCTTAATTTCTAAAATTAACATCCATCAGGGTCTGATCTATTAAAATATGTAATAAATTAGTCTATCTGCCTAAATCCACACTTTGTCACCATTAGAAGTTATGTTTATTGGCAAACTATATAGCACTTAGTGTAAAATAAAACATTTTTAAAATTCCTCATTTGTCTAAAATTATTATTAAATCTTGGTGACTTAGTACATTCTTAATTTATTTTTGACATTATAGTAATCAAAGTATATTTTTTCTCAATAATGGACAATTAATGTTTATTTTATTCTTTGAATATGCTCTACATTCGAAAAATGTGGCTTTATTAGAGATATGATCATATTTGTTAAGCATCAGGTTCTTATGATTTATAGAGGTTTCTGATATACAGCTTTTGTGATCAATGAAATCCAAGATTGCCAGAGTGCTGTCTTATCCTCTCAAATGCATAACATGACAAATGAAAATTTTACAAACAAAAGAAGTGCCAAAGGGGAAAAAATTAATGTGAAAAGAGACAATATCACCATTCAAGAACCAATATCACAATCCAAGACCATAACACCAAGGAACATTTTCATTCATACTGAAGTCATTACAATACATGTTGAAGAAAAAATTAGAAATGGATAGCCAATACTCATAACACCAAAAATGGTTTTAGAGTAACAAGTACTCTTAAAAGAGTTGTTATAAAGGGTCAACATCCATTCGCAAAGCCGAAACAATTTCAAAATATCTGATTTGGTTCTTAGATGTAGCCTTTGTGTGTCTTTGTGTCTTAGTCTTCATGTGCTATATTCACAGGTACTAACTATGATGCTGCTCAAAATATTTCGCTGGGTTTTGGTCCTCTCCCTTTGGCACATTTGCTTATATATTGATGGTCTGTTTGGTATCCTTGTATGTTAGTGGTCTTGTTGGAAATACCTTTCTGAGAGCTTGTGGCATGAAGTAGAATTGATTTGGTCATCAGCCATGCATGGACATTATGTCCTTCTTTTAATACTTTAGTGACATTAACCAACAGATAGCTATTACTATTTCAGTCGAAATGTTGAGGCATGCGCAGACCTCTATTTAGTGATATTTTCATTTCAAATATGGCGGCCAATCCGATGTCTGACGACCCTTACAAAGAATCTAGGCAGTTTGCATTTTTACCTCCTGTGAAAGAACAAGTGGAATTTAGTAGTTGTTTTGTGTTTTATTATCATTCTGCATCGTAATTCTATGTGATGTGGTGTTGAAATGTCAGCAGAAATACATATCCATACGATAATCGAGTGAATCAGATAACAGATTTTTCGAAAACCCGTCTCGTGCTAAGAGTGTAAAAACTTGTATTAACATGCTCAAAAGTGCCAATGTGCACATCAATGTCAAGCTAAATCAATGTTGTGTCTAAAACAGGTACCCGATCTACTAAAAACAGCTTGTCATTCACGTATACACGCTTAGCAAACACGGCGAAATGACATGAATCTTGGAATTTCGCTCGAGAGCTAGTGAATGTTTGCTCCGGTCTTCGTCATAAGTGTTCATCAGACTTCACGCATGCGCAGGAGAAAAACCATCAACCAATAAGGTTTATAAATCAATTTTGCGCATGCGCCTTACAACGGTAAAGAAATTCGTATTTATAAACGAACCAGTTTGAGATAACCCGATATCAGTCGGAGAAATCTGACGATCTACGAAACTCACTTCAAAAAATCAAATGCGGACTGACGGCGTATTCTACTATGTTTGGATCTAAGATTTTCAGTATAGATAAAGTCTTTTATGATCTTTCGAATGAGGTAAGTCTCTAGTTCGAAAGACAATCGTATCAACTTGAACAAAAGTTGAGTTTTGACGAAAAATTTTAACATGCGCAGAAGTCTCATTTTCGTTGTACCATATTGACTGATTTGTTTTAATGTCACCACTATTATAGTCTCAACTTTTTTGTGGACATTGTTCTGGATTTGGGATTCAGTGGTTGGCGTCTTTAACAAGTGACAAGTGATGCCATTTTGCATGTCAAAGCCTTGTAACTCATGAATTGGGGTCGATTGTAAAACATGTTCCTGGTGTTCAATAGAAATATAAAGATGGCGCACATACTGATTTTTAAATCATTAATTATTAAATTTACATGTACCACTTACTCAGATACTAGAAATCAACCAACAATCGTATCTGTCTTGATAAAGCATATAGTTAAGATTAATTGCACAATATATGTATCATGAGGAAGTACTTTATGTGTGATTTATTTAAAACTGGGGCAGTATCAGACAATTTCAAGTAGGTTGTAAATATAGCGGACAGCTGATTTGCTGTTTAAAGACACTTAAAGAAATCCATATGGTTCAATGATGAATCAATTTTCTAATGGGGAGGGGTTGACACATTTAGTTACTGAAATATCAGGTCCTGTATTGAAAATCAGGTAGGATCTTAGATTTTCAACATTTACGTATGTCATTTTCCATGCATGTATTGATCTTTGCCTTAAAAAATATGAGAAGGGACCATCCTCATACCCAGTGACTCCCGATTTGATGTATTTGGCAACATAGGCTATCAGTGCCTTGTACCATTCACTTCAACAAATCAAATAGTCAATACAACTGATTTATTGGACTCAAGATTTGTTAACTATAGTATATTGGTTATCTCAATTATGTTGTTATCTCAATATTTTTAATTCACATTATTTACCACAAGCTCTTGTACTTGTGTGTAAATTAGACTTGGTGATAGAGTAAATTGCAGGTTCTAATGAGTTATAATGTTGCCCCCATGTTTAATCCTCTCATATCTTTTAGTTTACTTGCTTTTAAATTTAAACATCAAAAACTTCTCAATGACTTGGAAAGATATTACAAATGAAATGAATTTTTTTTACATAAACTCACTTACTGTGGGAACCAATTAAAGGTATACTTATGATAAATAGCAATGCTACAAGGTTTGGTGATTTTTCATATAAACAATGACTACTAAATATGACAATACAAAATATTGCATAGGGTATATCCCACAAATATTCATCTATTTAAATGGAAAATTGAAGGGACAAACTCATACAATTGTAAATTTTGCAGAAATGAAGAAGACTCATATGCTCATTTCTTCATCTCTTGTAAAAAGGTAAAACATATATGGAAAGAAATAATGAACAAAATAAATGCAAAATTTGGATGCTCTATAAAATTAACAGAAATGGAAATTTTGCTTAAATATACAAATAAGAAAAAATATATTGAGAATTATGTAAATAATATTGTATTAATAACAAAAAACTGTATTAGCAAGTATAAATATGGTCAATTACATCCAAATTTAGAATACTTATTAGAACAAGAGCTATATATAAGAAAAGTCATGTAAAATTATTGTGTACTATATGTATGTAAAAATATTGTATAACTGTACTTGATAAACTGAAATAAAAAAAACAATAAAAAAAAAAAAAAAAAAAAAAAAATGACTACTAAATATGACGTCAATAAATTGCATAGGTGGGAAATTTAATCATCGACGAATAAAACAGTTGACATTTTTGTTACCCGAGTAAAAAGATGACCATTAAAATGTCTCCCTTATAGTATCAAACCATCTGTGCTTTTAAAAGTAAAAATGAAGATACAATATAACAAAAGTTACAGATGACAAAATAAATTATTTCTAACTTTGACCTTTTGATCCTTCTCCAAAAGTGGCTTTTCATTCATGACATGTGATAATATATCTTGATATAAAAATGCCCATTTTCGGTGATAAATCTTAATAAAATGCAGTAGTTTACAACATATTAGTCACACTAAAAACACTAACAGAAAGAAATGTTTGGAAGATTTATAGCACTAGTGTTAGATGATGCTCTATAAAGTCACTCCAGTGTTATTTATGTTGCAAAACTACCCTAAATTCAAATTATGAAATAATTCTATTTATGAAGTTAATATCTGAAGAAGTAAGACGTTTTCTTCAAAAATATGAATGAAAATAGTGTGTTCTATGGCCAATAAGATACATAGCCTGACCAAATGAAAAATGTGTGATAACTTAATCTGGATTTACTACACCATAAACTACATGTAATTTAAATTAAAACAGGTTTCTAGAAGGCACATGATAAACTAAAAGAGTAGAAAAGAAACCAAATTTTCAAAACTGAAATAACAGAAATGCAACAACCAATATGGAGGGGCAGTTAAACAAGCATGAAATATTTTTAAAAATTGAGACAGAATATTTTTGGACGCACATCGAACCCTTATCTTACCCCCACCCCATGGCAATAATTAAAAGTAAGGGAAAAGATAATGGAGAAGACTAGAGATCTAGTTAAAGAGATAAACATGATTTTGACATACACACTCT